TGCATATATGGTGTGTGCGTGTGTGTGTATATGGTGTGTGTGTATATATGGTGTGTGTGTGTGCATATATGGGGGTGTGTGCATATGTGGTGTGTGTGCATATATGGTGTGTGTGCATATATGGTATGTACATGTGTGTATGGTGTGTATATGTGTGTATATATGGTGTGTTTGTGTGTATATGGTATGTGCATATATGGTGTGTGTGTACATGTGTGTGTGTACGTGTGCACGCTCATGCCTGCAGTTTGGGGACTAGGGGTCAGGTCCATGACACACTCGTTGAAATTGTGTAGATCATTGAGCAGAATAAGCCCGATGTACAAGCAGCCCAGCGACAGGAGGAAGGCGGCGGCCAGGAGACCAAACCAGAGCCAGTCACACTGTAAAGGGGCAGGAGAAGGGCGCTCAGTCACCGAGCTGGGCCCAGGAGGGGCTCCCAGACCTAGGACCAGGCAGGGAGACACCTTTTCTAAAGATGACTGCACACACTGGAGGCAGTCATTGCTCCCTTGGGCCCCAGGCATGGGCCTTTGTTGGGAGCGGCCCAGCCCTGCCCCCCAGGGATTTTCTGGCCCTTCCCGCCCACAGCCACAGCCACATTCCCCTCTAGGACACCTTGCTGGTTGGCATCTTCTCCTGGGAATGTTTCCTCCAGTGACAGCTATACAGGCTGAAGAAGCAGCAGGCCCAGACAGAGCAGCAGCTGGGGGATTCAGCCATTTCAAAGGCCTGAATAGGTCCTAGGGGAGGGGACATAATCTCTCAGGGGTGTGTGCAATAGGCCTGCCTCCTTGTCTCAGGATATGAGCATCCTGAGGTGACACCTGGGGCCTTGGTGCTGGGAGTGGCTGCCATCCGTATGCCTAATGCTTAGCCAGATGGGGCAAGTGTGGCTGGACCTGAGTCAGGGTGCTGGGCTGAGGAATGGCCAAGCAGCCTCTACCAAAGAGACTGACGCAAGGTACAGGTAGGGAACCCAAGTATTGTGTGGCATCTCCTCCTCCATCCTCCTGGGGTTCTGGGATGAACCTTGACACTGATGTGGGCAGGGCACCTCAGCTTAGCAAGTTGAGGCAAGCTTGGCCGGGGATGAGACAGGTTCCAAACGGGATCCTCCCCTCCCCGAAGCCTTTACAATCCTTGGCCCAGACCAAAACAAGTCCACTTCAGGTGACAGACCAGTAGCTAAGATTGGCGGGTGTGCCACCTAGCCCAGAGCCATGATTAAACGGCCCAACCCTGCCCTGCAGCCTCTAAACCCTTCCCTATCCTCCACTCGCACCAGGAATGGCTGCGGCAGGGTCATGGTGGGGGATCCTGGTTCCTGAGTCAGCCCCGACATAAAAAGGTGCCCTCGGCACCTGGAGAAGCTACCCTGGGAGCCTGGTGGGTCCGGAAGCCCTGCCAACGCCAGTCCTGAAGCAGCTTCCCTGCCCCTCCCTTCTCTTCCCCGAGGGTGGGGGCCCTTCACCCTTCTAGTTGGCTTTGGTCGGTGGGTCGAAGTGCAGTGAACATCGGGCAGGGTGTGTTTGGGGTGGTGGTGGTAATGGGAGGGCTCCAACTTGGGACTGATATTTCTGCCTTCCTTCCTGACTCCCAAGCCTGGGGTGGGGGGCACTAATATAAAAGTAGTAGACACCAGCCTGGGCTGGAGGCGGGGTTACTGTCCTCTTGGAGTCAATCCAAGTGTCTGCATGCCCCAGCGGGATAGGTGGGCTTGGGTTCGGGTCCCCAGTCTGTGAGAGGGCAGTGAGGTCCCTGAAAAGTGCTCCCCCTCCAGGCGCCCCCCCCACTGGGTCTCCAGCCCCTGCTCCAGGTGCTCCCTCTCCAGGCGGCCCCCCCCACTGGGTCTCCAGCCCCTGCTCCAGGTGCTCCCCCTCCAGGCCCCCCCCCCGGGC